CCAGCTCCTCCTTGGCCTGGGCAGACAGCGCGGGCTCCAGCGCCCCGCAGAGGCGCGCGTAGTGGAAAGTGAGGAACTCCGCCAGCTCCTTGTACCGCTCGGACGGCAGCACGCGCAAGCGCCGCGCCCGGATCCGCGCCCGCAGCGCGGCGCCCACTGGCGCCCCGAGCAGCGGGAACCAGCGCTCCAGACCCGCGGCGGGCGCGCGGGGGACTCCCAGCTCTTCCAGTGACAGTGCCACGCGGCCCAGCGCCGCTCCCCCCTGGCCGGCTCCGCGCAGCCGCAACGACAGGCGACGCGCCGGCGGCAGCGCTTCGAAGTGGAAGCGCTCGGCCCAGAAGAGCTGGCCCGGGCCAGCCCGCGGCGCTGTGCGCGCTAGTAGAGCGCCGTCCAGCCATAGCTCGGCGCGCACGCCTGCTGTCCCCGCCGCCGCTCGGGGCAGTCCCTTTGCCTCGTGCACCCACACGCTCAACCACGTCTCTTCCCGTTCCAAGTTGTCCTGCGGACCGGAGTGGGTTGGGGGAGGCGTCGGTGCTCCACGTGGGGCACCGTGCCCCCAGGGAGATCGCTGGGCCCTTGGGGAAAGACAGGGGCCACGGCGGTCTCAAGGCGGTTTGGCGAAAGCCCTCTAGCTTTTCAGTGCTCTCGCGGAGAGATCCGGGCTGCAGGGTAGCAGGAGCAGCCGCGGGGTGGGGACTTGCTGTTTGCCTGGTAGGCGGGGTTTTGGGTGCAACTAGGTCCCGGATTGAATAGAAGGGACCTGAATGTTTTACCAGGAGCTGGTAACAGATGGAAACTGAGGAGGGTCTCGGAGTGGTTGTGAAGGTGTTAGTCGGCAGGTGTGTCAAAGAGGCAGGGTTAGGGCGCGGGCGGGGGTTTGCTTTGGGGAAAGGAGTGGAGCGGGCTGTGAGCGGGGCTCCATGTCCAACTTATCTGCTGTACTGACCTGGCTGGGCTGGAAGTGGCGGCGAAGGTCCTCGACCCAGCGGTCTCTCTCAGCGGCGGAGCGGCAAGAGAAGCAGCGGCTCCCGCCGGTCCACGTTACCTGTTGGAGACGGGGTTCAAGGGTGCGGTTGAGGCCAAGCGTAGAACCAAAGGGTCGGGGTGAGGTGGAGAGTTGTCTGCATTTACCTGGAAGCAGTGGGGCTCCTCCAGGAGGCTGGGGTGCAGTGGCCAGACCCTCACATCCCGCTCAGCACCCAGGTCCAGCTCAGAGAGTGTGGCCAGCGACTCCCGAGATCCCAGAGCACTGGGGGGTCTGGGGAGGGGACTTTTGTTTTTGTTTTCGTTTTTAAAGATTTTATTTATTTATTTGACAGAGATCACAAGCAGGCAGAGAGGCAGGCAGAGAGAGAGGGAGAAGCAGGCTCCCCGCCAAGCAGAGAGCCCGATGCGGGGCTCGATTCCTGGACCCTGGGATCATGACCTGAGCTGAAGGCAGAGGCTTTATCCCACTGAGCCACCCAGGCGCCCCTGGGACGTTTAAACAAGTGGTCATTCTTCCCTCCTCGCCACTGACCCATCTCCTATAGCCTGAAGGGTGGAGGGAGACCAGGATGAACCTGAACCTAAATTGGGCTTGAACCCATCGCTTTTAGGATAAAAATTCAACTCCTCATGGTGGCCGGTGTGTTACCTTGTATAGTACAGTCCTTGTCACCTTTTCACCACATTTCCCTGCACTTAATCCCTTTTTCTGAGCTCCAGTCATCCTGGCCTTCTTTTTGTCACTTTGTCTGGCCTCTTGGCCTTTGTACTTGCTGTTTCCTAGCCTGGAATGCTTTTCCTGTCCATCTTGGCCAGGCGAACTTCCATCAATCCTTCAGATCTCAGCTCAGGGGTCCCTTTCCTGACACTCCTAGAGCAGGGTGTGACTTAGTTCCTAATTTAGAATCAGTGTGTAGACCCTGCCCCTACCTTTCAGTCGAATGGCGGCTTCGGCATTGCTCAACATGGGGCAGGACACTGAGGGGGCCGTTGGAGGTATTTGGTGAAGGTGGGAAGGATAGGCAGGTGAGGGGGCAATGCTGAATCCCAGAAGAGCCCCTCTGCCTCTCAGAGACTCTTACCCATCCCGGGAGGCACTGGCTCCGAGCTCCGACCTGGCCTTTTTCTTCTCTTTCAGCCGCTTGAGCAATCCCTGTGGGAAGGGGGTATCAGCTGGACAGAACCCTGTTCTCCGTCCTCAACTTCTCTCCCCCCACAATGTCCTGGATGGTCTGCTGGTTTGCGGGGGACCACAAGCTCAGGCTGTGTTAGCAGTAACAATAAAGGCAACCAACATCTCCTTTTTCTAAAGTGCCAATCCTGTGCTTTTCTGCATTCTCTGTTGACTTCTAATAAACAGCCCTGGGACCGGGTGGGGGGGGGTGGGATTCTCATTAGTTCCATTTGACTGATAGGGATACTGAAGCCAAAAATGGCCTGCCCAAGATCATTCAGTAGGAGTCCCCTTTCATCTCTGAGGGTCTGGGTGTCTTTGATCTCCCCTCCACCTCCCACTGGATGCCTTACCCGAACGTTGTGGACCTGGTTGGGGCCAGCAGCGTCTGGCTCAGTCTTTCCAGTGGTCCGATCTGTAGGTGGTCAGGAATGGAAGGTTGGGGGATGGGATCATCTTGAATTCTGCCCCACTTTGACATGCTCCCAAATGCCCTCGCCATCCACATCTCTGAAACTTACCTGGATCCCTGAGGTTTCCCATTGCTACCCTGATGCTGCCTTCAGAGCTAGCGCTCCCTGCCCGGGGCCGGCGTGGACCCTGTTGTTCATAAGAGTGAGTAGTTGTACAGGGGAGGCAGACAGGCAGACAGAAGGAGAGGCAGCCACTTTACATTATCCTCCCCACCCACTCTTCTGTCTCCTTCCCACCCTCTTCTCCCCTCCTCTCATCCCTGTGCCCCTTCTCACCTCCTCCTCACCCCCAAGCAGCACCAGCTTCCCATCGAGCAGGGTGAAGGCCCCAATGTTCCAGATGGGTACATCAGGTGTGGGGGCCTCAGGGATCTGTGGGGCAGGGGTCTCTGGCTCTGGCTCAGGCTCTGGGGAGAGGAGTAGGTGCTGGGGACCTGGGAGTCCTTTCTTTTCCCTCAGAGGACCCTCTCCATTCACAGAGGCTCATCGGGTTTCCCTCCCAGGTGTCTCCTCTCCCCCCACTCCCACACCCCAGTCCACTGGCAGCCATGTCAGGCTGCTGTTGGACAAGTTTCCACCCCTCTTTTGTCCTTGTTCCCACAGGCCATTGGTAGTGGACACATGGGCCATGTACTGTGTTTACTGCTCCACATGCATTCTCTCATTTAATCCTCCAAAAGCCACTCAATGGCTATTGCCCCCATTTTGCCAAGGAGAAAACTGAAAAACAGAGAGGTTGAGTGACTTGCCCAGGGTCATACAGTTTGTGAGTGGCTGAGCTGGGCTTCAGACACAAGCATTCTTCTCTTAACCAAGACAGTAGGTAGGTAGGTAGGTCCAAGAGGTTAAACAAGACAGCATCCTTGGTTCCTTACACAAAGAACTAATCTAAGGTAGAAAGCATTCCAAGTTTGAGAAAGGAATAGAAAAAAGATCCGGGTAGGGAGAAGTGGTGGTGCAATGGGACAAGGAAAGCCTCCAGAGATGGTAGGTTTGTGCTGGGTCTTGACCAGCAGGTTGGATTTTGACAGAGATGGAGGGGACTAGGGCAGGAACAGCTTGGGCAAAGGCTCGGAGATGGCAAGGCCCAGAAAAAGCAAGAAGGGCCCATAGGGCTCAGAGGCTAGAGGGGGAAGATCCAGGATGAGACTGGTACAGAACCTTAGGTGCCAGTTAGAGAACTGGAGGAAATGGGGAACCACAGGAGGTGTTTGAGCGGGGGAGGAGCAGTCCTGCTTTTTGGAGAACTCTCTGGATCCTATGGAGTGGGCAATACTGGATACTCTGAAGGGGGCTGAAGGGATGCCTCTGCAGAATGGGAATACGAACAGTGAGAAATGAGCTTTTGGAATAGATGAGCTGAATCAACCCTCCCAGATCACCTGTCTGTCCTACTGTTTTCCCATCAGGGGAATAAATACTCCACTTGTCAATAGGTCACTTAAAACTTGCTGGGCCCTGGGCTAGTGCTGCATTCCTGAACTCCAGTCTTCAAGGCATCCCTTTCTCTTCTAGATCCCTTGTGGAACAGCCCCATCTGTCATTTCTGGTTTAGTTGTTTACTGTCTGTTATACCCACTACACCGTGAGTTACATGGGGCAGGAAGTTTCATCTGTTTTGTTTGCTGCTGTGTCCTTAGTGACTAAATCAAGGCCTGGCATGTTGTAAATGCTCAACAGACCTCTGTTTGAATGAATGAATGAATGAATGAATGAATGGATATGAGCAAATGAAATAATATATGCTTTAAGGTAGGGATTATGACCCCCATTTAACTGATGGAGAAGCTGAGGTTCAAAGAAGTGAAGAAACTGAAGATATGGAGGCCAGAGAGCAGAGGTGGATATCCAGGCAGGATAGAATGAGCCTGGGCTCATTCTCATATGAACAGAGACCCATTGAGGAGAGACCCACTGGGGCCAAGAGCCATTTGGCACCTGGATGGTACCACCTTCCATCTCTTCCCTCTCCCTTCCCCAGATGGACCCCCAGCCCACAGGTCCCTGGCCACTCCCCTCACCCCCCAGTCCCTGTGTGAGGGGGAAGAGGGAAGAGGGCAGCTGGGCCCCAGCCACTTCCTGTTGGGCTTTTGCACTCCCCACAACTTCCTGTGTCTGTAGGGCTGATGCTCAGGAGGCAGACAAAACCTAAGCATCCGGCCTCCCCGCCCGGGGAAGGGGGAACCATGTACCTTGGGCCTCTGGCTCTGGTCCTGGCTCCAGCGGCGGGCTCTTATGCCTTCCCCAGAGGGTCTTGGATAGCCTCAGGCGGCTTGTACGTGACTCCTTGGGGGGCGCAGAGAGGACACGACGGAAGAGCGAACGAGAGGCAGGCTGGCTGCTGACTCCGGGCTCCTGGTGGCTTAATGCCCGGCCCCAGCCTGCAAGTCGGCCCCAGCGGGAGCCTCCGGCTACTTTCTCCCCATCGCTCCCTGTGTGCCAGCGGTAGGAGGTTAGCGGGGAGGAAGCTGCTGCCGGCTGGGTTTGGGAGGTCTTGCATGGTGATGGTGGGTCCATGGCGGGGATTCTCCTGGGGGACAAGGGGTTGACAGTTCTGCCCAGTGTGTTCCCACATGCTGTCTTCATCTTGACCCCCTCCCCACTCTCAGCTCCACCCCCAGGGAACCCCTTCAGTGGCCACATGCCCTCTCTCCCTTACCTTGATTTTCTGGCCAGCCCCAAAATCAGCAGCCGTCTGCGCCCTGCCTGGCTTCCTCCCGCTGAACGCAACTCCACGTGACCCTGTCTCTCCCACCCCACCCCACAGCCAGGCTGGGAGGGCAGAGTGGGGGCAGGATGCGGGAGGCAGAGGAGGTGACAGAGCAGGACCCAGAATCTCTCATTGATCTGGAGGCAGCAATGCCTCTCTCTGAGCCTCAGATACCTTCTCTGCAGAATGGGTACAGACTGACCAGGTGCTGCTGAGAATACAGGGCACCTGGAGCGCCCCTCTGCTGCTGGTCAGAGTGTAGATCAATTTACCTAAGTTGGAAAATTGGCATGATCTCCTAACAGTGACCATACACCCTTCCTCTGGTCCAGCGGTTACAGTGCTAGGTATATACCCAACAGACAAGCCCACTAGCACTCTTTGTGATAGTCCCAAACTGGATGCCACCCGAGTGTCCGTCTACTGTGGAATGGGTCAGTTGTGATCCCATCTGCAGTGAGATACCATGCAGCAAGGAAAGGAGCAAACTGCTGGATGATGGATTGAACCCGGATGAATCACAAACGGTGCACAGTAAATGCCTTGTGGTCCCTTTTATATAGTCGCAAAGGAGGCAAAACTGTGGAACAAGTCAGGATGTTAGCTTCCTTTGGAGGAGGGTAGGGGAGCATGAGAGAAGGTTCTCAGCACATATATATTTGTTTGTTTTGTTTTGTTTTTCCTACTGGTGGTGAAAGTCACATAACAAACTCAACATGTCCTCTTTCTTGAACTGGGTGAGTCCTTGTTACAAGGGTGTGTTCTGTTGTGAAAATTTATTGAGCTGTACAGTCCAGTGCACTTTGTCTGTATCTTCCTGTATCTCTGTTATACCTCAGTAAGTGTTTACTTGTAAAAAGAGGTGGGCAAATGCTGTTCTAAGAAATGAATGAGTCAGCATGAGATTCAGCCGAATCCTGGCCCAGGAGTGGGTTCCAGTGCCAGCTGGTCCTTTGCTCACTGTGTGACCTCAGGCGAGTCACTTCCTCTCTCTGAGCCTCGGTTTCCTTATTTGTACAACAAGATGAAAATATTAGCTCCAGAAGGTTCATAATGGGAGTCTTTGTTTACTCAATAAATGTTTCCTGAGTGCCCATTATATACTAGGTGTCGGAGAAGCCACAGGGAACTGAACAAACTTGGTTCTTGCCCTCCTGGAGCACACAGTCCAGTGGGGGAGAGAGATCCTGAACATCAATGTAGGGCATTCCTAGCTGGTGAGGAGGACTTGGAGGAAAATAGAATGGAGCAGAGACTGAGGCTAAGTGGAAAAATCCAGGAGGACCTCCCTGCAGAGGTGACACTTGTGGCACAAATCATAAGGAGTTGACCATGGCATGAGCATACAAGATAGAAGGAACAGTTTGTGCAAAGGCAAGGGTGACCAGAATTCACAGGATAGGGTGGGTAGGACCACTTTCATGGGCATGTGGTCTGGGTAGTCATCGAGGACCCACATGCTTAGACAGGTACCATACTGCGTTTGATTTCATGCTTTGCTGTTGTTGTCTTGAAGTTCCTGCTTTTTGAACAAGGGGCCCTGCATTTTCATTTTGCCCCATGCCTTACAAATTCTATAAACTGTCCCAAGGAGTAGGGCCTTCCATGAGGGCCAAGACCTTTTTTCCTGGAGCTGGACATGTTCACATAGATGCACACGCCTTAGATATGCCCGCCTCCTTCATGCTGTTCTCAATCCATTCACTGCCCACACGTAGAGTTTCCCCATGTTCCGATGTATCCCTGAGTCTTTCTCACTTCACTGAATACTGATCCACTCCCACCTCCCTGCATTTTTGCTGGAGGTCTTTCTCTGGTGAGGGAGTCTACTCTACCCATACAATCTGCAGCCCCAAAGTGCTGGAGAATTAATACCTCCTGGAGATCAGCCCTTAACCAAATGATGATGAGGTTTGGGGGATCAATACTCCAGCTCCCTTGGATCAGTATGACTCTGAGGTGTGTGTCTTATTGTCCCCCAGAGGTCCCCAGAGGGATTGAGCTCCATGTCCCCTCAGTGCCAACTTACTTGATAAAGTACCCTTTCCCGGCTGCCTTCCCTTCCCTACCTCTTCCTCATTCCCCAACTGATACATCCTGGGATCACCTTCACCCCCCAAACAAACTACTTGCACTGGAATTCTTGTCTCTGGTCTGCTTCTAGGCAAACACAAGTTAAGACAATGTGTGCAGGGCACCTGGGTGGCTCAGTCGGTTAAGTGTCTGCTTCAGCTCAGGTCATCATCTCAGGGTCCTGGGACTGAGTTGCACATCGGGCTTCCTGCTCAGACGGGAGTCTGCTTCTCCCTCTCCCTCTGCCCCTCCCTGCCACTCATTCTCTCTCTCAAATTAACAAATAAAATCTTAAAAAAAAAAGACAACATGTACAAACACAGATGATGCATAGATACAGACTTTCTTTCCACTGTCTCTTTATTGGGGGTCTGTGGCTGGCATGTTTGTTGGAGGTGGCTCCTTTCTGGATCTCCTGGAGGCCCTCCTGGCCATTCTTGATTTCACATTCTAGAAAAGACAGGGGAGGGGAGCATGGGTGGCTCAAATGGTTAGGTGTCTCCCTTCAGCTCAGGTCATGATCCCAGGGTCCTGGGATGGAGCCCTGCATTGGGCTCCCTGCTCAGTGGGGAGCCTGCTTCTCCTTCTCCCTCTACTCCTCCCCCTGTTTATGCTCTCCCACTCTTCCTGTCAAATAAATCAATAAAATCTTAAAAAAAAAAAGAAGAAAGGACAGGGGAGTGTGAGGCTTGGGGAGTGGGGGCCTGCCCGTGTCACCATGGGACAATGGATAGGGAAGAGGACAGGGAACCCAACGTGAGGGGGTGGGTACGTTGCTGATTGCCAGCCAGTATACAGGTGAGACAGGGAGTGGGCAGGTAACATGAGATTGTACAGGTGGGAATACAGCGATGTTTTGGTGATCGGGGTCAGGAGCTGGGTGGGATCATGAGGCCAAGGTTATGCTGACTGGACATAGATTGCTCTGTCATAAGAGCGGTCATTGGGGTTCAGGGAGGCTGGGGCTGAGTAAGCATCCTCAGGCTGAGATGGGGCAGAGGACTGTAGCAAAGGGTTAGGGACTGGACAAAGGTTGCACAGGCAAAGGGGTTTTCCACAGAGGGTTACAGTCTAAGTGTAGTGTGGATAGAGGGCCCTTTGGCGTAGGGGACAAGAGTGAGGCCAAGGTTGGTTAGGCTGGGTGAGGCTGTGTAGGCAGAAGGGGTGCTGTAGGGTCAGGGTCCATGCTGTGGCTGGGAGGGCAGAGGTGTTGGGGCTAGGTAAAGGACAAGCTGGCTGGGTCAGGCCTGAGCCGAAGCTGTACAGGCGGAGGACGGTGGGTAGGGGCTGTTGCAAGTAGAACGACTGAAGTCTGGGTCTAGGTTGCCGGAATAGAGGGACTGCAAGGGGGGCCAGGAACCTGGCTGAGGCTGTGTGGGCCTGGGGGTCACAGTAAGGAGTCAGGGGTCTGTCGAGGTTGGGCAGGCAGACAGGGGTCAGGGCTGAATTCTGAACTTGCGCGGCAAGATGGGCCACAGGCGGGGTCCCTTACTCACCGCCGCGAAGCGCGGCCAGGTGCGCAGCAGGCTGAAGAGCGCGTCCCCAGGGCAGTCAGTGCGCACCAGCTGGCGGTGGCCCAGCAGCGCGTAGTCGGGCCGCAGGAGGCCAGCGCGCACTGCGCAGCCAGGGAGCAGGTCCTGCACGGTGTGAAGCGCAGCCTTCGCAGGCAGCTCAGCTGTGTAGTTGCCCACGAAGGCCACGCCGAAGCCGCGAGTGTTGTGGCCCAACGTGTGCGCGCCCACCCAGTGCCAGCCGCGGCCCTCGTACACGTAGCCGTCTGAGCCGATCACGAAACTGTAGACGGGAGTGGGAAGCAGGTACCGTGTCGCGTGAGCGAGGCCCCGCCTTTCATCTGGGCCCCTACCCCAGTTCTGCCCCTGAGCCAAGGGCCACTTCCGACCCAAGTCCCGCCTGGTCGCTCTGGCTCTGCCCGGTCCATCCTCTTCCCACTCCCACAGTGCCACTGCAGAAGCTATCCCGTTTTTCTGGATCCGACCGTCAGCATTGGCCACTCCCCTTTCTACCCAGCCCCCTCCACACAGTCTCAAGTACAGCTCCTGCCCAATTCAGAGACCTTTTCTGTCTTAGGTCATATTCCATCGATGCTCCGTCCCAGACCCGGCTGTTAACACAAGTCTTGCTCCTTCCTCAGGTCCTCCCTCCTTTCCTAGTTGCTATCCCAGACCCAAGAATCCCAGGGCTAAAGCCGGGACTAGAGTCAAGGCCACACCGCCTCCATTTGGCCACACCCACCGCCAAGGCTCCTCCTCCGTCTCGCCCCGTTGGCTCCAGTCAAAGCCCCGCCCCGATCAGGCTCCGCCCACCCAGGCTCCACCCTAAAAGGATATCGAGCCCGGGGCCTCAGTTTACCTGTAGCCGATGTCGTCCCAACCGCGAGTATCTTGGTGGAAGCGCTGCATAGAGCGCATGTCGGCGGCGCAGTGCGCGAAATCCGTGCAGGGTGGCGCGGGCACGTATGTGTGATGTACATACAAGAACCTGAGGGGCAGCTGCAGCGGCCTGGGGCTACCCCTATAGGGGGCGGCGCCCCAGCGGCAACGTGGGTGGATGGCCGGGCACCCTGCAGAGAAGGGAGTCCCGGGCTGGGGTCAGCCAGCGTTTCTCTGCCTGCCGCCTGGCTGCACGCCCGTTAGAGCACACATATGGAC